TTTCACGCGCTCAAACACTATCAAACTGACAAGATCTTTCACTGTCTATAGCTGGGTACCCATTTCAACCTGGGTGAAGTGAGGAAAATTCTTGTAAAATGCCTTTCCCAAGGACACAACGTCGGTCCCCTGACGGGATTCGAACCCACGACCTTACGGTTGCGAGTCCGAGAGCCTAACCACTAGGCCACCGAGGAGGATAACTTGATGCGTGCCATGCTTTTTTTAAGTAGGTGTTTTTACACCCCCGTCGACACAATGTAGTTCACTAAGGAGGCCGGCTTCTGACCCTGTCTTTCAGGGCCAACCCGGGTTGAGAGAAATACAACATCCGAGCAAAAAGAACGAGATACTCGATTTTTTTAAATTGTCTCCCGACTCGGGAATCGAAATCGGGTCTCCAACAAGCGGCAGCAAAGCGCCAAACCACTTCACCACAGACACCGATATGTCATGCATGCCAACGAGGGAACAATTTAACGCATTTGAAGACAACAAGGGGGAATCTGGCGATGTTTCAGTTTCCTACTAACTGAAAATTTTGTTCCAGAAATTTCCTATTTCTTTCTGGAATGGAATTCTTTAAAAAATGTTGTTCTACTGTTGAAATATCCACTCAGTGGTTATTCTAACAGGTGCCATCTTCTTATGACATTAGCGTTCATATGACATTACGCAGTTGCGAGCCAAGTAAAAAAAAAAAACTTACCAAAAAATAGTTGATTCGCACACTGGGAATATGAAAAATCACTCTTCATTTTCAAATACATGTAAAATCAATAAAACCAAAAAAAATATGTATAGACAGCAGCCCATATTAGTGTCTATTGTTGCGAGATATAAAACAACAAATTAAAACAAAACCCAACAAATTATAAAACAATTGACGTTTACATTTTGATTATAGTATGTTTGGTACTGTTGTGATCGGGGTGTGATATTAGGATGGCCTCTTTGACTGTAATTGTAATGACTGTTGTCTCCGTATAAACGCAGTGTTAAGGTGGCTATCGTTTTAACAATATTATCTATATTATATTATTGTTATCCAGCTTTTCTGAGCCGACTTCAAGAAGCCAGAGGATTTCTGCGTGATATAGTCATGTGCGTTTGTTGCATCTATGTGTTGTGAATGCGGGCGCACAGACTTGTGCATGTGTGTGTGTGTGTGTGTGTGTGTGTGTGTGTGTGTGTGTGTGTGTGTGTGTGTGTGTGTGTGTGTGTGTGTGTGTGTTCGTGCGCGCATGTAATGCCGTGTATACTCACCTATAAAACGGCCTCACGTATAATACGAGGAGTATACTTTGACTTCAAAATCGGACTATTTTTGTAGGTTGTGCGAATAATACGAGGTGAATTTCTGACATGCTGGAAGGGGCCTCGACGTTAGGGCTGAGCAGGTACCGGTACCCCTCAACATACGTGAAATCAAGTCCTTATCGGCCATCAAACAAATTGGGTGTCTTATTTTATACAATTGTGGGTTTTTTTGCTGTGAGATTGCTGAATTTTACTCTTTCACAAAATTCTCGTTGGGTGGTTTGCACGTTCTCCTTGCTTTTTTTTTGCTTCTGGCATTTTGGAATATTCTTTTATTCGGTTGTACTTCTCCTTTGTTGGGCTCACTTCTGGCTATAATCTGTCGCATGCATAGTACAAGGGGGAAAAGGGGCAGGGGATATTTTTACGTCTTTTTCTTTTTAAAATCACCTGTATTATTGGCATGTTACATCGAGCCAATCCTATTAAACGGGTGCGAAGCATGGACAATCAATAAACAGCTGGGAAGAACAATTGTGACGACAGAGTTGTGGTTCATAAGACGCATGCTACGTATCCCATGGACAGCTAGAAAAACAAATGAAGAAGTCTTGGTTGGAGCGAATCGTAGAAGACAGATTATGACGAATATAAGAAAGCGACAGGCAAATTTCAGACACACAATGCGGAAAGAAGCATTGGAGAATATTGTAACAACAGACAAGTTTGGTGGAAAGAGAGGCAGAGGCAGACCGAGGGAAAAGATGCTGGACAAGATGACAATATGGCTAGGAGCAGCAAGAACAACAGACACCATTGTTGCAACACAAGTCAGAGTGAAGTGTATCTCCATGATCGCCCACGCCAGTCGGCAAGGCACCGGATGATGATGATGATTTTTGGTAAGTACATGCGCAATTTGTTTTGAGGAAAGAAAATGTTATCCACAA